GGGAGAGGAAAGCGTGAAAAGGGCAGCGGCTGGAGAAACACCTCCATGCACAGCCTGTCTGACAAAATAAGGGTGAATTGAGTATTTCCCCTTTCCAAATGAGGAGGCTCAGAGCTCAGGGAGGTGTCAGAAAGGGGTCTGTGAGATGACCACCAGGAGCCCACCTGATGTGCAGAGGACAGGAGCAAATACCACACTGGGGTTCATCAGCAGAAATCCTACAAAGCTCTTAGCATCAAGGGGCTTTTACCTCCCAGAATGACTCTTAAGAGAAGAGACTTCAAGTACAGCAGCCTGATCTCCCCAAAGGGCGTGAAAACCCCAGGGACCCCACTCACCCAGTCTTTATGAGTAGCCAAGAAATACTGCACGAGTGTGTGAAGGCTCAATGCTGGAAGGCACTGAGCTTCCCCCAAGGGAACAAGCGCCCTCCTTCCCCACGCAGGGCCACAGAGCAGGGGTGGCGTTGGGCCTCAAGACGGCATCCCACAGTTGGTGGTATCTAAATTCAACGTGATCACGCAAGCTTGGTGGAAGGTCCGTCAAACCTCCCTCCCAGAGAGCGGTCTCCCGGGATAAATTAGGACACCACCTATATAAAATGCACAACTGCAACTCCTTTTGGCACCACAGCTAGCATGTCGGTTCTTGAAACGGCACCAGGAGGCGCACCCTGGCTCCCTGCTCGAAAGCACGGAGGTGCGATGGAAGAAGCGGTCTTCTTTTAACAGCTGGTAAGCAAGTCGAATACACTGTCAACCACATCTTATTTTGGGTGCTTAGAATACATTATCTTCTCTTAAGCAGACCATCTTCAGTACTGCTACTTATTACAATGATTTTAAAAAGCTTTTCTGCTCACATTGCCTTATAACCCTATACTGGTAAGCTACTAAAACTTCTTTTGCAAAAGAAGTGTCAACTTTCAGCTGGATATGTTTCTGCTGCTTATGATAAACAGCCAAGCAACTTTGCTGTGAAACTGGCCATGCATCTGTTGGCAAGGTGAACAGCAAGTCTCAACCAGTATCAGAATAGGACTGTAGGGGATTCTGGTTTCCTCATCCATAGGGTCTTTCTTCATGCCTATACACATTTTGAGTTCAAGGAAGAATCTGGAGAAAAATTATGGATATTTTTAAAAGAAAGAAATATTAAACCAGCCATATGTAAGCAAACTGCAACACCTGGGAGAGAACAAAACCTGACCAATATCAAGTTACAACCTGACCATACATCAAGTTAACAACGTTTTCCAGGAGGGGACAGCCCAATTCATTTGCAAAGGCAAACAAGAGGAGTAACTCATTTGCCACTCAGACCAAACGAGAACGACTGAAAAAAGGTGTATTTGTACCCAGTTCTGGTTTGCTCACACCTTTTATGAATACCAGCTTTCATTGTCTCACAGGTCTGCAAAGACAGGTATGGGACCGGGCAGGACTGCTCAGAACCACATTAGCTTTAAGCAGACTAGTTGGGGTGCCAGCGGTGATTAGCTGGACACGCTCAGCTTTGCGCCCTGCTTCTCATTAACATTAGTTAGCTGGCATCATACCTCTGCTGCTGCCAGGATGAGAACTGGCTCAGGCAGTAGTTTCACAGTCCTTAATGCTGAGTGTGGAGTTGCCAGAGTGCACAACGGGGAGTTTATGTCAGCCCCGTGCCTTTCTGCCACGGGTAGAGGAGAGCAGAGACCTGGTTCAGCCAAAAGCTGGAGCAGTATGGACAGGTAGTACCTCCTTTGGCGTAAGACCTCCCAGTGTAACGTTAACCTGCCAAAAACGTTCGAGTGAGCTTGAAACACCAGAGCTAAGGCTCAGCTTTGTTACGTGCTTCGCCTGACCTAGCAGTGACAGCTGATGGAAGGCCCAATCCTGCATGCTCCCTCCTGAGGCTCCATCAGGTCCATCCCCAGAGAGAGGGCTGCAGTACTGGGGGCTCGATTAGAAGTGTCCCCCTCCCTCCCCGACATGAGCTGCTATCAGGTTCTCACCTTGCCAGCAACACAACATTAGTTTAGGTGAACCAAAGCGACCTCGTAGAAAAGCAGATTCTGCAGATACAGCTCAAAAATTCTGCCAGATAAAGTATTTTTATCACTAGAAAGTCACACTTTCAAATAAATTTCACCCTGAGGCCATAATCTCGAAAGACACACTTAAAAATACGTAGAACATAAGATGAGTGATTTTTTGGGTAGAGGTTCAGGAAAGAAATCCCTCACAGACTTAACACTTTATTGATGTTACTGGTTATAGATCTACAGACACTGAGCGGGATCAGCTACTGGTAAGGACCATGATCCAGGTCTTCCCATTTAAACGTCGCAACAAAGAATAAGAGTATTTCCCAACTAACAAAGGGGAACCCTTTAATTTGCTAGAACAAATCCAGCTCTCATTGCATTAGCACCCTCCAGTGTCCAATCCATGAAAAACAACATCGTCACTAATTTGCCAAGTCAACACAAACTTGGAGTGTCAAACAGAAGACAGAGCAGTGATGGATTCCTAGGTGAGAAGATGGCAATCAGAGATGAGAGAAGAAACTCCCAGTGCTAGAAATTTTTGATGACATAGGCACAGTCCCTGACCAAGATCTGATACGGGTTTATTACTCTCCTCAGGCTCCTTTGTTCCTAGCAGGCGCGCTGGTGTCTGCACCTTTGGCATGACACGCTCTATGTGTCCACATGGTATAGTTCATACTCTGCAGCACTCCACTGAGATGTGAGCTTAATAATGCTGCTTTTGATTGACTTAGTACAGGCATGTGGGTATAGATCTACCTGGAATATGCCATGTAAATGAATACATGTAAAAAACCCTCTTATACACGGGAGAAGCAGACACATACTCAGCTAGCCAAGGGCAAACATGATCATGCTTATGTATGTAATGCTCTTCTCTTGCAGCATAATCATCAAGCAAAGAGAAAACCCTTGACGAAAATTTGTCAGGAAAAAAGTTTTCACAGTCAATGCTTTACTGCAACATTGTCTTTAAAGCACATCTGAAGCTCTTAACAACAGAAAGAACAGCTGCATTTGTTGTTAAAAAACAGCTGGAAGGAGGTTTTCTGAACTTTCTCCAACAATACAAAAATATTTTGCAGGCAGGGAAAGCCCAAAAGGCTCTGGAACGTCACAAGTAAGCAAAACCAGCTCTGGGTACCATAGGTTTCGCCTGCCCGCTAACAACACAAATACACTGTCCACATTCTCATGGCAGAACTGTGCAGTGGCTTCGCAGGGGCAGCAACATCTGCATGAAGAGAGGATGGCAGCAGCTGTAAAGGCAGCCGCACCGCATCAGAGGTACCTCCTTTAATTAAGAGTTCCAGCCTGACAGCGCAGCAATGAGAGCTGTGGGACCCAGGCACCAGGGTCCGGACCCAGCGGCACCTGCCACCTCCTGCTAAAGACCAGGGAGCTGCTAATTAAATCCAACCAACACACACACATCGATTGCCGACATTTGAAGTTGTCCCTGTATTTTCTCTTCCCACTGCACATGGCTGCCCAGCTCAAAGGTGAGCAAGGACTCTTCACGCCTCCTCCTGCTCTGGTCTCTGACCACTTAGGTGCCGCAAATTCTGTGGCCTCCACCTGCGTGGTGGCTTCTCGGGCTCCGCAGCAGTGCTGGTGACAAGGAGGCAGGCAGTTCTCACCACGGAGAGGCCATCGTGCCTCCTGCGAGTTAAGCAAGGGGGCTGTGCTGTTTGGCAGCCATGGCCCATCCCGTGGCAGCATCAGCCAAGGAAAACCCTTTCTGACCATGGATAGAAGAGAGCAACCTCACCAGGGGCGTGCGGTCAGCCTCCTGTCCCAGCCCTGAACGGGTGCTACGCGCATATAAATGTGACCATCTGATTGCCCTCACGCTGCACAGACTCCTCCCCACAGGATAAATATTCAAAATTCCTCATGACCAGAAATAGCAAGGCACCGCGTTTATGATTCTGCACCAATATGGAGTGGAGCGGGGGAAAAAAAAGACATGTACATGCAAGCATCTTCTCCAGAAACAGGCTATAAAAGTAAGCTGAAGGAGGTAGGCTGGAAAAATTACCCTGAGTGCTACGCATGATGGTGTTACTGTGGGCAAGAAAGACTGACGTGGATTTTATGGGCTCTTCACACTGCCTCTAGCACCGCACAAAGCAGTCCAGCTGTCCCTGGGGTTCCCCAAGAACGCCAGCATCAATACTGCGTGTTCACAGTAACACCTACGTTGCAGTTAATACACACTGCACACTCTTGTCAGTCAACTGTATTTACAGTATCATGGTCTCTCAAGAGAGACTGCAAGAGTTTAAATGATTTAAATATTAAAATGAATTAATCCTTGATTGCCTTCCTAATATCTGTACTTAGAAAAAAATCTGCTCTCCTTCTAGAAGTGCTGTTGAAAACCTCCCTTAAATCAGCACTGACTCAACAATCGCTCACTCGGGCAGGAGTAATTCTCTGGCTGCGGGTAATACGCAGGCACGCACCCGCAGGCCGAAAGCAGGGCATCAAAACTGCACACACCTCCAGGAGAAAGGTGCCGCGGGGCTCATCTCACAGAGAACACGTCACTCGGAGCCCCACTCTGCGACCTGGCCTGCGTGGGGGATCCGGTATTTACAGTGCGAATTTACAGTTTCCCTGGGCTCCTGCCCAGAGCCCACGCCCGGGCCTCCCCACGCCCAGGGGGAGGGATGCCGAGGGGGGCTGCTGCTGCCACCACCGCTTCTGCCCCCACCGCGACCCTTGGGCGGCTTTCTCGGCGGGGGAGGCAACACGACACCCTCCTAAAACCAGGAAAAGCCCAGGGTGCGCACCCAGCCCCGCTCGGACCCTGCGGCGGGGCGGGGGGGGGGGAAAGGGGAGACACCGCCCCCGCTCCGGGACGCGGTCTCCAGTGGGGAGGGGGAGACGCGGCGGCGGCGCCGGGGGTCCGTTGGCCCCGCCCCTCCCCCCCCTGCGCGCGCGCAGCGTCCGCGTCACTCACAGTCTCCGCCTCCCCGGGCGCAGCCCAGCCCGCAGGAAGACCCACGCCGCCGCCGCCGCCATCATCAACCGCCTTGGTCCCGCCCTCCGGCCCAGCCCATTGGCTGGGGAGGCGGTGTTTCCGACCCCCTTCCCTCTCTTGATTGGTCGGGAGCGGGGAGGAGGGCGTGCCCCGCGCCGACACCCCCCCACGTGCCAGAGCTGGCCGGGCGCCGCGGGGCGGGGGAGGAGCCTTGCGCCGTCACGTGAGCGGCGCGCGGCCCGTGGCCGTTACTGGCCGTCCGGAGGAGCGCGAGTCGGTGCCGGCGGCCGCCCCGGGTCCGCCCGCCCGCCCGCCCGCCCGGGAGCCGGGCCTGTACTGGTACAGCCAATGTGGTGACACAACTTCAGCCGGGCAGGTGCCGGTGTACCCCCGGTACACACCGCGGCACGGCGAAGCCTCACGCTGTTGGGGCGTATCAGCGGTGAGGCTGCCAGAGTCAGCCCGTCCCTGGCGGAGTTGCTGGCTGAAGCTGAGCGGGGGGCCAGGCCCGCTGCTGCTGCTGCTGCTGTGGAGGCTTCTGGCAGAGGTGCCTCCAACTTCAGGGGGTCAGTTCTGTCAGGGGTGCTCCTGCGCTGCACAGCTCAGTGCGGAAATAACTGCCCTGAGGGGGAGTAGTTCGTTCTTGCAGAGGGTAAAGAGCTGAGACCAAAAGTAACATGAAGTAGCAGGGGAGGGGGCGGGAAGGAAACGAAATTGGGAAAGAAAGGGTCCTGAAAACAAAAGAGGGATACTGCTGATCTATTTTTCCATCAGTCCAGTGCTAGACTGAACATATTTTTCCTTGTAGTGCTGCTCGAGTGTGCTGGAGTGGCCACAAAGAATAATCCCAGCAAGCTGCTCCAGTGGTGTGGATATTTCAGCCAGGTTTCCTAAGGAAAGGAGCCTGGATTGTGCTGCCTGTCTGTCCCATCGTCTACTGTCCCTACCCTCCCAAAACTGCTGAGCACGTTGCCCAATTTGGACCAAGTATGGCCACAGGAGAGAAATCCCCAAGACACTTGGTTTCAACAGCCTTTATAAAAAAAGGATATGGACAATGAAATAACACCCCAGAGCAGTGCCTGCGAGGCCCAGGCTCACATCCATGTAGGTCAAGCTTAAGTCTTCATGGAAGAGTTTTTTTATTTTCTAATGTTAATGAGTTTTGTTGTATAACTTTGTTCTTTCCCTGACACACAATTTGCTTTTCTTTGTCAGTGTAGAGATTTTCCAGCCTGGCTTAGCATCACTTTTCTGGGGAAGTGGTGTCAGCAAGTGGTGTGAGTTTCCCCTTCTAGCAAAATGAAATATGCTCCCGTGAAGAGCTGTGCTGAAGCATGGAAGTGACTTGTGCTCAACTTCCCTCCCCTCTGTAATCTCACGTGCTAGTCATGTGTGATACCACTTGAATCCGACATAACGTGATAACAAAGAAACACTTACTCTATCACCAGTAGCATGAGAGCGTTAACAGTTTTCAGCATAGGTCCAGTGAGCTGTGTGTGGCAGAGACTCTTCCGCCTCTCTTGTATCACTAATGCCTCCCTCCCTTCGCCCTGTCCTCCTGCCAATCTTACATCCATGGGGAACTTTCTCATCAGGGATAGTTGATATGGCATGAGGTGGTGGAGGAGAGCCTGGGACTTGTCTCCTCCCCCTCTCTTACCTCTGTAGGGACAAGGGATTTCCTTCCTGGCACCTCTTTTGTCTTTTCTGACTCCAAGACTCTCAGGTGCACAAAATGCTCTCCTTCCCCACTTTGCTGATGAAGCTGGCCAGCAGTGAGAAAAAAAAAAAAAAGAGATGTGTGACCCCTGACAGACCCTGCTGGCCGTTTTCTCTCTATGGCTCCCCATGCCAGCGTGGAGAGGGTGGGAGCAGGGGTACAACCGGCCAGGGGCAGACCCTCCAAAATGTGGATCTCCCTTGCAGCAACGGCATTTAGTGCTGCAACATCAAGTAGAGGCAGGACACAGCGGTGACAGCAGATCAGCCATCCCCGTGTGTGCAGAGCAGCTTTCAGGTTTTGTCAGAAGTCCAAACATCCTTTTTTCCGCACTGGTAACTGAGCGTAGGTTTTGCGTAAATCAGTGTTGGAAAGCCTGGGGTAGCCTGGTCTGCTCATTTCCAAATGACATACAGCCCTTCAGCTTGTAAATGATCATAGGAACACAGGGGCATCGATTAAATCTCATTACCATCCTTTCCCTTCTGTATTCTGGGAAAAACACTGTTCATCTGTCTCGCACTTTTAAAACTGGAGGCCTTTTAAAGATGCTGTGTTTTCCATGAATTGGATTAAGCCAATGTAACATTTTCGAGGATGCTCAGAAGGTATTTATGAGCCTCACTCCCACTGACATCCTCAAAAGTTAGGCACCCAGGTGCTTATGAGGATATAAGTCTTATAGCAGCGGTATCTTTGGGGTTAAGACCCTTGGAGCCAAATGTACATGAAGAGTACGTGGAGAAAAGGGTCGCTGAGCTCAGCTGGGGCTGTTAGTCAGTATTATGATACTGTTGTCAGTGCTATTTATTGCTTTTTGTGTCTCCTTGCAAAACCTCATCTGCACAAATGTTTCAGCGGAATGTGTGATAACTACACAGAGAAATTAATCAGAGAGAGCGATCCTGCAACTTCTCAAATAGAAAACAGATTATGAAGATCAAATGACTCATCGACTGCGCTGTTGAAAATCACTTAGCAATTTTAATGGACTAGGGAAAATAGTCTAAAAAAAGATAACTGCCTACTAGTCTTCCTTCTCTTATTTCAGTAAAGCATCACAGCAACCACAGTGCGACAATGTACATTTCACGTACACTATTTTTTATAATTGTTGTATTTCAAACACCTTATTTGTAATGGTGGTATAGTATCCTCTGAGATGTTGAAAGCATAAGGTTCCTGTGAAAGAGCAAACCAAATATTCTGGAAGAAAATATGGTTGTCATCATTCTACACTCATTTTCTAATTCCTTAATGATTTCTTAATGGTACGATTAGTGACTAAAGCAGGTATTTTTGCATGAGAAAGGGAAAAAGAAGTGGTGTAGGACAGAATTACTGTAGAACTATTAATGAGCCATGCTGATAAAAATAGATAATCTTTTATGTGAGTCTGTGTGGAGTCTGAATAGAGGAAAGACCTGTGTTGCTGCCTGAAGCCATTACATGCCATGGTCCTCTTGACACTCATTTACTTTGATTTTCAAGAGAGAAATGAGCAATGTAACAGCCAAGGAATGACGTGGCTTCCTCTTGGTATTGTGAACACACGGGGATGTCCTCCTCAGCTAGTTGTGCAAAATTGGGAAATAAATAACTGTTGGCACCAATCTCACTGAGATTTTAGTGCCTCATTCCGACAGGCACTTATTTTTGCCGGCCAGCAGTGTTAAGGTGCTACTACTTTGGTCCTGGTCTCCTACCTGGCCAAGTGTTTGTGGGAATTTCTGAATGCCGCAGCTGCCTCCCACCTCCAAGAGCACTCACTGCCTGGTGGGTGCCTTCTGCAGTGCCTCCTGTGCCACCAGACAGCTCACAGCATTCCCTCAGGTTACACGTCTTTATCCCGTCCTTTCCAGCTCTAGCTTAATGGCACAGAGGGAACGAAGGGGCATTGTCAGTCTTTTATTCAGGCTCTGGCTGCTAGCCATGGGTGGTTGGTTTCCCCTACAAACTGTGTTTGTGTTTTCGGGCTTGCAGAATGGAGGAAAGGTGCTAAACTTTTGCTTCCCACTGCGAGCACCCCAGGAAACCCACGCTGGCCTCTTGCCTGCCTCATGCCACGTATGCCAGCAGAGCTTTGCCCACGCCAACACCAGCCACGCGAGGCCTCTCACTCCTGGCTCCTGCTAGTGCCATCCCTGCGAGAACAGAGCTCACCCCTGCACCCTCAGCTCCTGCTGCAGGGCACTCCAGGCCCTCTTTGCAGGCTGGGTGCCCGTCATCCCTCCCCGGGTCTCCTGCAAGAGCAGAGTGTGAGGATATGTTGCCCTCCAGACACTGCCACGTGGCCGTCCCTGGGGCTGGTGGGACACTCATGTCAGAAGACCTCTTCAAGCTCCTGCAACAGGGGCAGGCCTGCCAGGCCATCTCTCACCTCATAACCCAGCTGGTGTTCTGACTCTAGAAGAAAGCTGCCTTCACCACCTTTGGTTCTGTGTGGCCCTCTCGGACCCAGCAGCAGCCAGGAGGTTAGCACCTCCACAGCACCACCATGGATGTCTGTCCAGCAAGAAACCGCCTTCAGCCTCACAGCACAGTGACCAGCAGTGACATCGCCTAAGGGATCTTGCTTGGGACTCACTGGCTTTTCTGGAGGAGTGATGGGGTTGGCTTGTCCTGGACAGTGGATTAAGGAGATAAGAGAAAAGCTGATAAAAATATAGGTGGCTAAACAAGGGAAAGGAAAGAAAGATAAAGAATCTTGAGCCAGAAGAAAGGTGGATGGGAGTCCTAAAGTGCTGAGGACTTTGTGCAGTCAAAGGTTGACATGGTGGCACACTTGCCCTGTATATAGTGCAAGAACTATTTCAGAGTGCTCTGGGAGTTCCTGATGGTGCAAGAGCCATCTCCTGTTGGCACATCTGTGTTAGGGGACCTCATGATGCTGCCCTAGACACTGGACGCTGGTGTCCCCAGCAGGCACTGGAGCATAGCTTCCAGCTCTCTTTCCTTCAAAAAGCATCCAATTCCTGAACTTCACAGGTGCCTTGAGAACCAACCCAGGGCACAACAATGCAGTGGTGGATTTCACTATGAAACCACACTACTGCTTTGGGCCTACTGATAGTGTAGACACAGATTGAGACAGCAATTTCTCCCTTGAATCCAGGCTACCATAAATAATGCCTGGATGTCACACAGGGTGTGTGAGAGCTCAGTCCACACACCTAGATATAAGCCCTTAAGTCCCATGTAAGACATCTGCACCAGGCTGCAGATACATCACAGGACCGAGACCCTTCTTGAGCCCCAGCATCTGTTCAAGATGGACTAAGAGCACCTCAAGTGGCACTGGACATCTACGGGCAGGCCAC